CCCCCCCCGCCCCCCCTCCCCCCCCGCCCCCCGCTCCCTGACGGCGGGTCGGGCCCCCGGCCTGGCCGGGGCATCTTCTCCCCGGGGGGGGGGGGGGAGGGGGACAGGAGGGAGAAGGGGGGGCAGCCGCCATGTTGGGCCGGGCCGCGGAGGAGGAGGAGGAGGAAGGGCGGGGTCGGTGGGTGTCTCTTGCTCGCTCGGTCTTTCTCGCTTGCTTTCTCTCCCGGCCTCATGCGTTACCCCCCCTCGCGGCGCTCGCCCGCTCTCCCTTGCTCTCGCTCTGTCTTTTTTGGGCGCCATGCTGAGGGGAAGGTGAGGAGGCGCCCCCCGGACCTCCCGCGCCCGCCCTGGGGAGGGGGCGCCAGGGGGCTGCGGAGGACCGCGGCGGTCCTGGCTGCTCCGGCTCCCGGAGCTGGCAGCTATGGGCCCGCCTGCCCGTCGCCAGGCCTTGGGGAAGGGTTTGGGGGAGGGTATCCCAGACCCTTTTTGGGGGGATTTCGATCAACAGCCCCTTTCTTAGGGGTTTGGAACTGGGGGATCTCCCAGCCCCCGCCAGTATCCTAGGGGTTTGGAGTTGGGGGATCTCCCTGCCCCCGCCAGTATCCTTTCTGCTGGGGGAGGCACACCCTGCCCTATTTGGATAGATACTTTAGCTTTCTTAGGATGCAGAAAGTGGGGGTTCGTTCAATCCTTTCTCCATCCTTCTAATGGGGGGTCCTTTGGGTGGGGGCTCTTTTATTTTGGGCGAGAGATGTTTTCTGTCTATTCCTTGGAGGGCAGAATGGGGGGATGCATCTTCAGCCCTTTTGATGGAAAGCCCCTGCCTCTTTTTTGGGAGAAGACCCTTCCATATATTTTTCCTTAGAGGGAGGGAGTCTTTTCGCTTTTCGTAGGTAGGTGACGTGTGGGAGGGCCCTCAGCCTTTTTTTGGGGGGGTGGGGGGTGAGGTTTGATTACTCTGTATTGGAGGGGAGAGGAAGTTGGTCCCCCGTTTTCTCCTGAGGTTTTCCCGCTCTTTAGGGGTAAAATGGGTTGCCATCACTTCCAGGAGAGAAAAGATTTCCTTGTGCTTTGGCAGGGGGTAAAAGGGAGCGCTCTCCTTCCCTTTATTAAGTGAGAAATGGGCTCCCCCCACGCCCTTTCTGGCGGTAATAATGGGGCCAGCCCGGCGCATTTCAGGGCGGTGTTCGGCCCGTTTCCCCTGCTCGAGCAGGAGAAGTTGGGATGCAGGGTTTGCCCACTCTTTCCTGGTGGGGTAGGGGAAGAGGTGGCTGGAGAGTGGGTTTGGAAATGGAAGGTGGGTTTCAGCCGGCAGGAAAGCGAGTCTTGGAGGGAGTGGGGGTGGGGTGGAAGAGAACGCGCTGGACAGATGGCTGCCCCGTCGCAGCCCAGGGTGGGGAGCCGATGAGGACCCTTCCCTAGACGAAGGTCTCAGCCAAGGCTTCCCCGCCAGCCTCCACGGCCCCTTCTCCCCACTCCCACCTCCCCTTTTCCCTTTCTCCTTCACAGACCATACTTTGCCTTTTAAAAGAAATGCCACCCACATTCAGAGACACAAGTGCAGCAGTTTGGTGAGCTTTTACAAAAAATTTTTTTTGTTTTTTCTGTTTTGTTCTAATTAAATGTATCGTTCTGGGAATCGCAGCCCATCGCAGCCCGACTCCAGTTCAAGGAAATAAACAGATTAGAAAAGGTCTGTTCGCTAAGCCCACGTTGGGCTTCCGGGCCCCCTCTCCAGGGGCAGGTGTATTACTCAAAGGTGCTTACACGCTTTATTCGACCTCTAAGGAGTTCTCTTATGTCAGACGTGTATGTCTTACAATGGGTTGGGATGGTAAGTAGCCTCTTTTATTGAGTAATTCAATTATCTCCCTCTTTTTGTCGCTTTCCTGCCTGCCTTCCTCCTCACCTTTAGACCAAAGTGATGCTTGAGTGATTTTATATGTTCAAAAATCAGGATTCTAACCCTATTGAGCCCTTTTAGACTTGCACATCCTTTCAGTGTTTAATTTTTTAAGTATAACGTACACAGTTTTCTCAAAGAAAAAAGTGTGTTACTGTAACATGACAAAAATGTATGTAAAAGGCCCATGTTTTCAAACCCTTGGCATCTCTCCATTTCAGTCCATTGCTTTGTCTCCAGCCTTCATCTTTGAAGAAAGTGGACGCTTCAAGTCCATTTGTAGGAGACAGGCTTACTGAATTTGGTTTATGAAACTTTTGTTCAAGTAATGTTCTCCCTCTTCTGCCCCCCA